GGCCGGGGAGGAGGTGGCGGAGGGCTCGGGGAGCGGGCGGTGGTCTGGGCCCTGGGCGAGGAGGCGGCTCTCGGGACGGAGGGGCTGCGCTCCCCCGGTGGGCAGGAATTAGCCAGACCTGCTCGCTTGGGGGTCTCTGGCTTAGTGGTAAAAGCCGCCGTGTGCCGCAGGACCTGGCCAGCTCGGGAGTGGCCCCGTGGCCCAGGTCAGGGTCCCTCCCTGTCCAGGCCCGGCAGTGCACTGCCTCTGTTAGTAAGTGGGGTGATGGTACCGAGTGTTGTCATACCTCGGGGTGCTTGAGGGGCTCTTGTCTTTATCAGTGGGACGCAAGAGTGGATGCCCAGTTTCCTTTTCAGAGTGCTGCGTTGCACTTGCATCCTGCAGGTTTTTTGCAGATAAGCAAGCCGAGCAGTATCTGTTACAGTTGATGCCGTCTATGACCTAGTTTTTGAACAGGGCCGATACTGCATAATTAGGTTTTAAAGCTCAAAAAGATTCACATGGGAAAGGTGTCACACTGGTGAAATGTCTAGGTTGTGGTTTTTAAATCTTTATGTATGCGTGTTGATAAAGCCAAGTTTCAATAAGTGTGTCCTGACTTGCCATGGTAGTTGTGAATCCGCTTGAGCATACCTGAGTATGTGATTTGATGTGCTGTTTAGCCAAAGAATGCTTTTTAAGGTCTAATGTAACTTTCTGTCAGTCTTTCATCTTTTAGGTCTGAAATAAGCCTTAAGAAAACCATGCTGCTCAGTATTTTTGTGCTGAAAAGCTGGTGTACGTAACTGCCTCTCCTCTTCCCTGCAGGCACCATGGTGCGCATGAATGTTCTAGCCGATGCTCTCAAAAGCATCAACAATGCAGAGAAACGTGGGAAACGCCAAGTTCTCATTAGGCCGTGCTCCAAAGTAATCGTCCGGTTTTTAACTGTGATGATGAAGCACGGTAAGTCTAGAGTGCACAGCACTGATGTTTTTTCTCATTCATGGTTTCTGTGGCTGCTCTCGTGTTAAGGTGCTTTGTGACTAAAAGTAAGTCACGGTGCTTGAACTGGTTTTGTGTGACGCTGTTAATTGAGTTGTGTTAATGCAGCTAAGTATTGTATATTTGATTTGTTTGCTAATGTTTTGTAGGTTACATTGGTGAATTTGAGATAATTGATGATCACAGAGCTGGGAAGATTGTTGTCAATCTCACAGGCAGACTCAACAAGGTAGGATTCCTCTTCCTGAATTCAATTCTCTAGGGAAATATTTACATGGGACTTTTTTTTTTTTTCTGTTTGTCTGCTCTGGTTCTGAAGGAACTACTTGTAAAGAAATTGGTATTTATTGAATCCATGTAAATGAGAATAATATGGGTATTATCAGTGTTTATCAAACGCTTGTTAATTTTTCTAGATTCATAATGGTATGGTTGACTAATAACATTTCTTTTAAACTCTGAATTTGTAAGGCATTCTCAGGGAAGTCTGCAAGTGCTGTGTGTTTCTTTGTAAAGGCTTTTGGGCTACCTAGTGATTTCTCAGTTTCTTTGATGTTTAAGCTATCTAGAAGACTTGTCTTAAGAGATGGAAACTGAGTTGCTTTCCAGTTGATGTTTAATACCTGTAAATGTTAAAAAGACAAGCCTTTCTCCTGCCGCTAGATGGGCTTTGCTGGCAGTTAAAAGAAAGCTGAATGTTATGTTAATTGGTACTTTTTAAGTTCCTGGGGCATATGAAGTATTTGTGTCTGTTTTGGACATTATTTAAATGCTTTTGTCTGAAAATACTGAGCTGTCTAGTTCTGTGATCACTTGCTGTGCATCATTGTTTCCAGTTAAGCTATTCAAGTGAGAGGTGGCTCTTTAATAAAGAAATGAAAAAAATTACTTGGCCAAAATATATTGGGGGGGATCTCCACAGTGAACAAATATTGCAGCTGAAAACTGCTTGAGTGTAGTAGGCAGAGAATTCTGACACCACCCAAATTACTAGTGTTATGTATCTGTAATAAAAATACTCTATGTCAGGTTTGAGTATAGTGTTCCTTGAACTCTTCCGGGATGATTTCATAACAGATCTTTTGGGGTGCAGCTGGATATTATGTTTCTCTCAATAGTTGCAATAAGGGAATAGTTGTTTGGTTCAGAGAAATGTCCATCAGTGCAGGAAGGTGTACTTCTGGTTTGCTCTTGGATATTTATTAAGATAATTGGGAGCCAATGAGGTAACGGGGGGTGGTAGTAGTGGTCACGGTCAGTACGTAATACGATGAACTTGAAAACTTCGATAACTTTTATGCATGTTAATTTTTCTCTGTTTAAAATCTACAGGGTTTTTTTGCTAACTATATATGATGATTAGAAGTAGAATATCCCTGAGTAATTGCAGGATTTTTGATGATAGAGGATGCTTAATAATCTCCAGTGGTTTATAGTATCCTTTTATGCTCTCCCAGGTCTAGCCATTGATTTGTTCGTTTAGCTTCAGCAGCAGTTCACACAAGGGGGAGTAGGCTAAGGAAGTAACAGCTGAATAGCTGGGTGAGAGTCTGGGCTTACCTGAGAGGAGGCTCTGTTTTGTATTATGGGTAATGGAGTGTGCTTCTTGGTACTCTAATCTTTTGCTGCCAAAAATATTTTAATTGCAGTTGTTAAATTTCTTCATCCGGTGAATTGGAATGACAAATATGCAAATTCAGTTTATAAAGTTCTTCAGTTTGTAATGGAACTCTCTTTTATAGTGTGGTGTAATCAGTCCCAGATTTGATGTTCAGCTGAAGGATTTGGAAAAGTGGCAGAACAACCTACTGCCTTCGCGTCAGTTTGGGTAAGTGTGGAGAAGAGTTAAATCTGCATTGCATGTAAAAATGCGAGGGTTTTTATTATGCTTTCATACTGCCTGAGGTAACTTGCGGGACACCTTTCCTCTCTGATCAGTCTGGAGGTGGATACCAGTCTAAAAATCCATCTTCCATATAAATGCTCTTTTTAACTGGTTTCAAAAAGGCACTGCTAAGCAAGGACCTATTTTTCTTGGCTTTGGTGAATCCTGGTTTCACCATTTCTATCTACAGTATTCTGGGAGAACAGGACTTTTTCTTTTATTCGTTTTAATTTTATTCATGTCCATTTATAGATGGGGAGGAGTCATGTAAGTTACCAGGTTACTGGAATTAGGTCGTACTATTTTAATTTAAACTTCCTGATTGAATGTAAGTTGTTTGGATATTAAATGCTGAGAGACTCAGAGCCTGTGTTAAACAAGCCTCCACGCCGCAGAAAATCTTACTATTATGCAGTATTTTTTCCTTCCCAAAATTCACTTGAGTCTCAGTGCACGACGGTGACAGAGCTGGAAGAGCCTTCAAGGGCTCAGCCAGTCTGTCCCATCAAAGGCAGGGTGAATGGTTCCTTGTCATTTCTGTTCTTAAAGCTCCAGTGATAAGCCGCTTGCTTTAGCTACACCTATATAGCTTACTAGAGTGTGTTGTCATAGCGAGATTTTTAAGAGTATTTATAGAGTGGTGGGACAAGAGGTTTCAGACACGAAGCTGCATGGATGAAGTATGCTGATAATCCAAACGTTGGCATTAGCAATGACTAAGGCTGCTTCAGTTGTCAGTCCAGATCCAGATACTCATCTGCATCGGTGCACAGTGTTCAAAACACTGGGAAGCAGAGCGCTCGGAGGTGAGGAGCTGTCTGGCACCATGGCAACTCTACCTGCTCTGAAGAAAAACGTGTGCTTAAAATAGACTCAGACTTTGGCTAGATAGAGTCACTACTGCTGTGACAGCTGAACTGACTTTACAGTGGGAATGTGACAGAAAACTTCTTGCTGAGACTTATGCAAATGTTCATAGAACAGAAGCCTTTGCGTGCTGCAGAGCTGTACTGGTGAGAGGAGTCTCTTTTTAATTGCCTGATGACCCGATCTTGGTTCTGTTAGGCCCCTTCTTACAGAAACAGATTTTACTGTTGTAATACAGAAATGAAGTTAGTGCTGTCAGCTCTGCACGGGCATAGAACAAAATGAGAAGCTGAACATGTGTTCTTTCTTAACAGGTACATTGTACTGACAACCTCGGCTGGCATCATGGACCATGAGGAGGCTAGGCGAAAACACACAGGAGGCAAAATCCTGGGATTCTTTTTCTAAAACTTGTAAAAAAAGAGGATACTAATAAATTGTTCAAATGGACTTTGGTGTTTCCAGTGGGTATTTTAATGGCATCTAACCCTGCCTGTGATAGCGCTTGTCACAGACAGCTCTTCGGTAGTGCTTAAATTCCATCTTTACTGCAAATGATGTTCAGGTTCCACACCATCCCTGGTCACAACTTCTATTTCTGTTAATAATATAACATACTTTGAAGAATTACCACTTGACTGACAGTTACAGGTCACTATACAGAATAGCCTCAGCAGGGAAACTAGTGTTAAAGTACATACTCAGGTGGCATGTGGTGGGATCACCCCTTAGGTGTTAGATACGTGTGTCTCCATAGTTATGTATATGTGACTGCTTAGCTAAACGATAGAAGATGCCTTGCTAGAAGTTATTTCCTCTTTATAGTTAAAAAAGTTATGAGGTGCAGGATTGTGGAATAAGTAACATGGCTGAAGTTTGATTTCAGATCACAAACTTGTTCCACGCCTTCCAGTGTAAGGAGTAACTGAGGTAGAGAGGTGAATAATTTTTTTCCATCAAATTTCTAGTTTAAAAGTCCTTTAAAACATCAGGTTTGGGTAGGGTGGTTGCTGTGCAGCTGCTTTGCGTGTTGCCACGAAGACTTAACTGTTTGGCATTCTTTTAAGTTACTTTTTGGAGTGAGGAAATAGGAATATCTGAACCTGCAGGTAGTGAATGTTCAGTGTTGAATGAGTTGTTGGTCTTTGTTTCAGGCATCTGATGCATGACTGCATAATGTACTTGATGATACAGAAAACCCAACAGATTTCTTTCAAAGCAGTGCACAGAGCAGGTGACTATAGCTGAAGAGCTACTTTGAGGTGGCAGAGAACGGGAAGAAGCAAGCTTCTGGGCTGACCGCACTGCCTGTTAAGAGCAGCTGGAAATACCTTGCCTCATTTCGCTTTGTTTGGAGCCTGTATTAGGAAGGAGCCTATTGAAATGTGGCAGGCTTGGTTCGACATGCTTTAAAACAGCTACTGAATTTGCGGTTCTCATGATACAAACAGTTGGCAACACTTTCCCTTCTTGGTGATACATCCTGGTGCCTGATAGGTACGGTTGCTTGAGTTGGAAGTGGTGTGCCCTGAAGGTGATCCTACATCACAACACTTTTCAGAGAGCCTTGGGATGGAAGTGACTGTCTTCAGGCACAAAGCCTTTAAACTCTATAGTTTATGACTACATAACCTGTTTCATTTCAGTTTGCTACTTTTTATGGAGAAAAGGAGACCTGATACTGCTAAGCAAACAGGTCTTAACTCTCTGCAGACAGGCAGCACAGTCTCGCCTGATGTGGTGGCTCTTCTCTGAGGAGCAAAGAGCGAGCAAGAGAGCTGTGAGTGCCCGCAGTACGGCTTTGGTGGAGTACACCAACGTCCCGTAACAGAGACTTGCAGCTTGACTGAGAAGAGCAGGGGAGTAATAAAAAAGGCTGGCTTACCCGTTTTATCTCAGTCTCGTGCAGGTTAAGGTCATAAGGTATGGGTTGCAGGTGGCATCAAAACATTCAGATGTGACCAGTACGGTTTTTGGTTTGATTTGAAACAAATTTGCTTAGCTGAAGATAACGACCTTCAAAAGAGGTCTGTCTTGACCCCTTTTTTTTATTGTCAAATCAAGCTATTTTGTTACAGGTGGGTTTTTTTCTATCGTAAATGGAGATAATTCTGCAGTCCGAAGCACTGATACACACACGAGCTTTCATAGTTCTTGCTCAGAGTAACCCTGAAGATCATACCAAGATTCCACTGTTCTTTTTTATAAAATCTTGATTTTTATCAGTCCAGAATAGAACACACGTTTCTGATACCTGATGGAAGGCAGTCAGTGACACTTTAAGGCTTCCTTTAGATGAATTTACTATGGCTTCAAGTTCTCTGCTAGTTTGACATTCATGTTTTAAACCAATTTTATATGGGACACACAGGGTTTTCCAAACCAGTTTACCTGTGTATGTCCATTACTACCACAGAGACTTCTGAAGTAAAAGTATTTCTGATATTTTCAGTTGATGGACCAGCTGTGAATAGACTCTGTTCGCAAGCCAGCCTGACAACTTTTGTAGAATTATTAAATGGAAATTAGAGCTCCAGTGTAAAAAGAATGACTTGGAGGGAAGCAAGCGGCACCATGTGCACCTTTGCCAGGGTATATCTAACAATAACTACATGCTGGCTTACCCCACGTGGGAGCTGATGTCGCTGCTCCGAGTTCAGAGGATGATCTCTGAGCTTGCACCTCGCTGATGAGAGCTTTACTCCTGGGTGATTGTGGCTGGCTGAGATCCAGGGAACTTCTGACGCGAGACTCGGGAGCTGACACGCGGGATTATGACATGCTCTGCAATGCAACTGCTTTAAACAGGGTTGCAGAAATTCTTATTCTCAGACATGTTTAAAATCTGAAAGTGGTATTTTTTTAAGCCTCTGTGATGTTTTCTGAGCTGAAGGCACATGCCATGGGAAAGCAGTGTTTGTAGGTAAAAGTTAACAATCACGTGGGGTAATAAAAGCATTAACAGGGAGAGGTGAGAGGGGGAAAAAAGGCTCAGTGCAGGTTGCAACTGGCAATCGAGGCGCAGTGTGTTTAGAGAAGGTGTTTGGTACCTGTGGAGCTGAGGGGGACGTTCATCACGAAGGAGTCTCCTATGGGACAGAGGCAGTTGGCCTTCATGTGGGCAAAACTGGGAGGTGGATGACACCTGAGGCAAGCATCTGCGCTGCAAACCCCTGACTCACCAAGCTTTACTCTGGTGCCACCATGGACACGTGCAGTCTGACGAACCTGGAAAGGGTTGTGTTACTGGATGGAGAGAGAAGTCTCGGCCTTTTGGCTGGAGATCTGTTTCTATTGGCTAAGCCAAAATGAGCACTCAGGTCCATGTGAGCGCTGCCGCTTGTCCGGCTGTTGTGCCCTGGAGAGGCCGGTCATATTATGGTATGGATAGTGTCTGGTGATGCTGCACTGTGGTCCTAGACACAGGTGGTAAAACGGGGTCAGAATTTAAAATTTGAGATGTGAAAATTACTTACTGAGTCGGAAGTAGTTGGGAGAGGGTTGGTGACCCATCTGAGGGTACAGCCTGGTCTCACGTCTGCTGTCAGACATACAATCAGTGTTTCCAGATGCGCGTTGCCATTGCTCCTTATGCCATTGTTGGATAGCAGGATAGAAGGTGTTCAAACCGCCTGCTGTGCATGAAGAGAAATAGCTATTTATTGTTGCAGTGGGAAGGTGTCGGCAGATGGCAGCATCCGACTTTGAATGGCCGGAGCCTGAGGCGATCTGTGGGAGAGAGGTCCCAAGAGGGCTTTGGCACTGCTGCTGTGCTCCGTGTTCCTCCTGCAGAGCCAAATACCCCGACTGCTCCTGTGCTCTCATCCACAAGTCCGTATTTTTTTCTGTCTTTGATGCAATAGAGCCTGATTTAAGATAATATTGGGGGTGAGAATAGGAGTGGATCTTCAAAACACAGCAACAGGGTAAAAAGCCTGGTGCACGAGAGTGGCTTCACTGGAAATGCGCTTTCTCCTCCTCGTCTTTTTCTTTGTTTTCTGTCACAGGTAACTCAGGCAGTTCCCTTCCCTGGAATGGAACCTGTGGTTTCTTTCTCAAACTCACATGACAATTTCTTGCGCCAGAAATGCAAGCTGTGATTAAACCTTGTTCTCCAGTGCCTGAACAGTTATTTTAGTGACTCTCTCACGCCTGCTGGAGTCAAGGTGAAAGCCAGCGACGACAGACAAGGAGGAGTGTGGCGGTGTGGCAGAAAGCAGGGGAAGAAAATGGGTTGGAATGTTGAGCCAGGCTTTAGAACTCGCCCCAGCGGATTCGGCACCGAGGAGTTATTTCACAGCAGTGAAAGAATGCGAAGTCACTCGTGGCTGGCGTGGGGGCCCTGACGCGGGTGCAGGAATGGACAGTACAGTGATGGTGATGAGCACGTCAAGATGTGCAGGTGAGGCTGATGGTAGAGGACAGGAGACGTTTGTTTTTGAAGGATCTGGGACTGCCAAAGCTATTGTTTTGGGTTTTTTAATTAAAGTTACATGCTCTCAAATCACAAGATTTTTTGTGTTTTGTCTAATGCTATTTAGCTAATTTAGATTACCTACTCAAGTGCTGCCATTTTACTCATGCAGTTCTGTTTTAAAACAGAGTTATCTATTTTTCCTCTTAATTCTCCTGCTGTACACCATCTCTTTGCTCTGGTACATTGTATTTTGACTACCAGCTCATGACCTGGTTTTGTTTACAAATATATTTACAAAGAGAGAGTGCTGACATAGCAAGTGGCAAGAATAACTGGGTAAACTTTATTGCTTGATATGCAAAGATGCATCTTCTGCTGGGGGAAAAAAGTAAATTCAATTGACCTTCTGTTCTTCTCAGACGAAGTGAATGAGGATGTCTGAAGGCATAAAACTTTCCACTTAAATTTGATCCAGTCTGGTTTATTATGTGAGATATGTAAGAATAATCTTGTAAAAACATTGGAAACAGAGGAGAACATGCACAAAGAAATATTGTGGTTCTGCTGTAGGTAATGAGAGTTTTGACCTTGACTAGGACCACTCTTAATGTAACAGGTAGTCCTGGTATCCACCGGTTACCTAGTGGTTGCCCACAGTTTCGAAAGCTCTCCTGGCAATCTTGATCTGACTGCACTGGGTTTAGCAGCGACCAAGTGATTCCTAATCAGTGTGCGGCTGCTAAATTCAACCTATATATATTTATATAGGGAGCAGAAATTAAAATCTGTACTATTGGGGTGCTGTGACACACAGGGCACGTGCATCACATTACAGGGGGAGCGTGGGCACTGCCAAGCAGAGGTGGCAGCTGCTGGGAGTTTCACCATCTCCAAAAGGGTTACAGTCCTGCCAGGAGAGGCTGTACCGACTGCATCCTCTCTCACGCAGTACCCAGAATTAAAAGATAGGCAGATATTTGATTAACAACTTAATTACAACCTGGTAAAATGTGATACTTGTGATACAACGGTA